GAGCAAAACGTACAGCTCTTGAGAAGCGTGCAGACATCATCTTGCCTGATTGTGTGTGGGTATAACAAAAGGGGATGGAGGGAAAAGAAGATGGCGCGCGGAAAGGAATGGAAAAGCGGTTATTATAGAGTACACAGTGGATGAATTGGGGGGAGGGAGGAGGTGGATGAGGATGCGAGGAAATGATGATGGCAAGGAGAGATCGAAATTTTTTGACCCGAAAAATGATGCGCGCCCCCGGTCATAGAAGCCGACCGAATCCCGCAAGGTCGGGACCCCGGCATCGGTTATTCCGCGTTGCAGGCGCTCCACTGCTAGAAATTTGGGGCTTTCCAGGTCCCCAGCAGTGGGGGCGCGGTCGCACGTGACGAATGAATGGCAGCCACCGCGCTGAAGCAACGGGATCGCCCGGCCATTGCAGGTAATGGACGTGGCGCTAGTGGACGTGTCACTGGCCAGAGACGGAGCTAGGGGGAGCTCGGCTGGAAATTTTTTGATCTGGAGACTGAGCTCTTTGCCGTCGAGGCACTGACGCGTTGATGTTGGTCATTCATCCCCTGGCACGCAGACTTTTTGCGCCTCCGTCTTGCATGCCAGTGTCTTGAGACGGTTCATCCAGCTCATGGCTCTCGCGATTGCGCTTTTTGAGACACGAATTGCAGACCATCATGTAACCGGCAAGCTATTCCAGACTGCTCAGGAGTGCAACTTCTGCTCTGCGCTTGAGGAACTGCGCAGAGAAAAGCTGGAGAGGTCCACCGGCAGCGCGGAAGGTACACCCGATCCAGCAGGCCCCGACGGCTGCGCTTCCGGTCCCGAAAAGTGGATCCGGAGGTGGGTCTGGATACCCCGAGGTCGGATCAAGACCTGGCGCAACGCAGCTTCCTGTTGTCTCTTCTCGGGCGTATCCAACGTATCAGTCAAAGTTCTCGGGTCTTGCTTGCATGAATAATATCTCCCCCTTTCATCCGATGTGGCTCTCGGGTACTTTGACCGCACACTGAATTGGAGGATTCACAAGCCAGAGAATCAGCAGAACTCCAAACTGATTGACGATGGTGCTTTGGCGTCGGTTGGGGGATTTCGAAACCACAACATGGTAGAGCACGTTTTCGCATGCGCTGGCCCGTCATTCAAGATCTATTTCAAGCAAGACGCTCATGGACTCTAGTGTCCATTTTAAAAGTGTGAAGTACTACTTTATCTCCTTGGTAATCTACAAGTCACCTATTCAGCTCAATCATTCAAGGATGCACTCCCACGTCACTGCGGTTCTCATTGACATTGACGAGTGGACGCCTGTCCATCCGAGAGCCGTATGAATTGAGAATCCAGCCTCCTTTCCTGTCTCTGCGTTCCTTTCGAATCAAGTCCGACTGAGGCTAGGATGGCTGAGATCTGTCGGATGTACCAACCCAAGAGCGAGTCCAGGTCACGGATCGCAACGAGGACTGTTAACTTTGAGATGGGAATTCACGATTGGTGGATGAGGCTGTACGGTCATTTGCCAACTTTGATGGAGAAGCAAAGCCGACCTTACCATAGGTTGCGGTCGCATCGAGGTGGTTTGATACTAATTACTTGGGTGCACCAAGACGCTCCATTCAAGCGCTAGAAAACCCCGTCCAAATGGCGTCTTTTAGCTAAGAAAATTAACCAACAATTGGATTGGACGCCTGTCTAGACCCCGGACTACTTGCTGATGAGGTACTTGCCTAGTATCTTGCCTAAGGTGCTTAGGGAAGGTGGAAGACTCCAACGGGTAAGCAATGTGCCTCGTTGGGTAAGCAGCAGCCCAAGCTCCCGTCCCGAGGCACTGGCCTAAGGTACGTGCTGCAGAGGTATTCCCTGGTCGCCCCTTCTAAAGTACCCAAGGTGGTAGCTTACCACTGTATTCTGCGGCAGAGCGCCGCCAACCAACCAGGACGAAGGCGAAAAGCAGAACAGGCCCCTCCTGCCATACACGGACGTCATGCGGGAAGTTGCCTCTCGTCTCGCGCAATTCACATCGCATCGTCCCCAAACATCCGACACCCCGAATCATCCCACGGCTTCATCGGTCGCTGTGTAGTCACCGGCCTGTCGTCACTGCTATCGCTTAGCACGCGGGTGGGATTGATTGCACTGGCGACTCTGCCCCGATACGCGTGCCTCGGCACCTACATGTTTACTTTCCGACGGACGAATCCTCTGGCCACTCCATAAGCCATCATGGCTGTGAAAGATGGCGTGTCGTATGTTTTCCAATACAATTATTCCGACCATGCCAAACTGACTGTAGCAGATACTATCCGACAAACGACTTGATCTCCAAGAAGCCGCGGAAACACTACCGCATCCCTGTCCGATCCCAGTGCGTCTTCATCCACTTCCACGCACGCATCACATCCCTCACGTACTAACCACCTACAGACACTGGCAACTACGATCGCTCATCAGCGCCGAGAAACGAAACCTCGTCTACTTCCCCGGAGGCGCCGGCAGCAACCATGTCCAGCGGCTCAACACGACGACCAAGGAGTGCGAGACGGTCAAGTTCCTCTCCTTTTCGCCGCGATGTCTAGTCGCTGAGAACGGCTGGGTGTGTTGCGGAGGAGAGACGGGCGAGTTCACGGCGATCCAGATGGACAGCGCTAGCGATGACGATAACAATCTCGATTTGCAACTCAACCTGGAACCCGACGCAAGGTTACCCCTCGGCATGGGCACCGACTCCGAATCCCCTCGACCGCAAGATACCGTCTTTGGGCTCCTCAGCCAATCGCGGCGGCTGAATATGAGCAGCAGGCTGGACAAGAGCGTTATTGCAAAAAGCCAAAAGCTCGCGCGCGACCGCGTCAACTGCATAACCATGTGGTTTCCACCAGCAGCTGGTCCCATGCATCACGGAGCGTACACGGAGTCCGCCGCCGTCCTGGCAAACAATGACAAGACGGTCGTTCTGGTCGGCTTGCGCGACTTTGACAACCAGGACAAGGTCGAGCCTCTGGATATAGTGACGTATCCCGACTACGTCAATCGAGCCATCATCTCGCCCGACGGCCGCCTCTTGTGCGCAATCCTCGACGACCCTTATTTGTACATTCACCATCGTACAGAGGCACCAATCGATGAGAACGGCCCATTCAGGAACGACGACAAGGTGGAGTACCGCTGGGAGCTGTGTGGCAAGATTCTGCTCAAGAGCCAGCGCCGCGACGACAGCTCCGACAGCAGGGGAAGTTTTGCGGCGTGTTTTTCCAACACGGGGGCCTATCTCGCTGTCGGGACACAATACGGCACCATTTCGGTGTTTGACGTTGCGAGCCTGACCGATCCGGACGTTGCCGATCCGCTGCTCACATCCTTTACGTCGTCGCGGCCGATGGCTGGGTCGGGCGCAGTCCGCGACATGGCTTTTTGCCCTGGACCGTATGACCTCCTGGCTTGGACCGAAGACCGCAGCCACGTTGGTATCGCGGATATAAGGGGCGGGTTTGTGCAGCGTCAAATTCTGGACATCAGCGCCACCGACGAGTACGACCAAATCCCCGTCCTGGATCGTGCCACGATTGACCCGCGGCTACTAGAGGGTCGCAGCGAACCGAACGATACTCTGTCATCCATCCTGCCAGAGGCCAGCGATAGCCGGCGACGGCGACTCGACGGTCCAGGGCGCCAGCACCTAGCACTCACACCCGACGAGACGCGGGTGCTTGAGGCTCTGCAGGAGGACCGCCGGCGGAGGGAGCAGAGGGACCGAATCGCGGCGCGCATGGCCGAGCAGACGTCTCAGCAACAATCGCCACAGTTCTTTGGCGGCATGCCTCCCATGGGTGGAAGAGGTGCCCGTATCGACCCCGAAACAATGGCACGACCACGGCTGAATGCGCAGTGGGATATCCAAGCGCAGAGGGCACAGAGAATCGCGGCGCGCCGAGCGCTAGATCATGAGGCGGGTGAGCCCAGTAATGACTCGAATCAAAATGTGTCCAGGGCCATTGGCGACCTCCTCGGCAACATTCGTGATTCGAGAGAGCGGGCGCAGGAACGCATACGTACGGCCCAGCGTCTTATTCTGCAGTCCAACTCAGGCCGGGACGGCACAATGGACTTGCAGTCCAGCTCAGATCGAGACCTCGGTCTGGCGGCTCCCCATCCACCGCGGCGTCCGGCAAGCACACACCCGAGTGAAGCGTTGGCGACAACACAGCGTGGCGGATCAAGCGGTCTGCGCAGCCTGACACCGGCGGGCAGTGGCTGGGCGGACCTGGAAGCGCTCTACACCATGTCGTTTGAGAGCAACATCCAGGATCTCCGGCAAGCCGTTCAGGACCGTAACAGGGAAATCCTTCCGCTTCTGAATAGTGTCAACTTGCGTGAGATGGAGCGCGACCATGACCTTCTGCGGCAAGTAGAGCGCAACCAATTCCTGCGCCGACGGGCCGAGCAGCGAATGGCCGAGCGCGGCGTCCATGAAGCACCTCCCGAGCCCGACAACACGGCCGGTATCTCGTGGAGCGAGGATGGCAGAGTCTTGTAAGTTGTCTTTTGGCGTGAAACTGAATGAAGCTGACCGAGCAGGTACGTTGGTGCGGAAAACGGCATTTACGAGTTCCACGTCGACGTTCAAGGCCGCAAGTTCCAGCCCAGCTTGACGTTGCGGTAGTATGAAGTCTACAGTGTTCTTGGCTGGCGTTTGGAATGATGGGATTGACTGTACAGCCGAAAATGACACAGCTGCCCTGGGGGTAACGGCGTCGCGGAGTTTTGCATGATTTATGATTTGGGTAGGGTCGACATCTACACACGCATTCTCTATGAAAAGTCTGCAGCGTCATTTTGGTATTTACTGTAACATGTGGTTGGACCTTATCTGATGCGCTCTGGTCCATTTTTTCCGTGTAATACATGGCAGAGCATAGGATAGTGTAGCGTTTCGGTTTGGATCTGCGTCGGAGACACAGAATGAACAGCCATATCACACTTTGCCCACTTCGTGCCATCGTGCTATCGTGCCATTACCCGTACACGATCTCATCCACCCGCTCCGCAATCGCCAAGCAGCTCGTCAGCCCGGGACTCTCAATGCCCAGCAGATTCACCCACCCCTCGTACCCGTCCTCCTTCCGGACGATGAAATCGTGGAACCCGCTGCCATCGGCAACGGCCTGCTTCCGCCCCAGCTTGGGCCGTATCCCCGCGTAATCCGGCACCAGGGCACCGGCATCGAGACCAGGCAAGTACTTTTTAATCGCCTCCACGGCCTCGGGCAGCCGCGCGGAGTTGACGGCCAGGTCGTCGGGCGAATCGACCCACTCCACGTCCGGCCCGAAGCGCACCCGGCCCGCGAGGTCGAGCGTCAGGTGCGTTCCCAGTCCGCCGGCGCCGGGTTCGGGGGCCGGGTAGATGAGTCTCTTGACTTTGGGGGCGGGCTTGCTGCCGCCGGAGTAGGAGAAGTAGTTTCCCTTTGCGTAAAACATTTCCCTGCATTGGGAGGCTGGCACAATCATGTTGTGCACGTCCACGGCGCCTAGCCCGGCCGCGTTGACGAGCACCTCCGCCGTGACGGCGCTTGTCTCCCCCGTCGACGGATCGCGCACGCTGACCTCCCACCCCTGGCTTCCTTTTTGCCCTAGTGGACGCACGCCCACGACGTGAGAATTCAAGGCGACGACACCCCCCGCGTCCTCGAATAACCCGTTCAACGCGACCATCAAGCCATGCGAATCGACGATCCCCGTCGTGGGACTCTCCAGCACGCCAGCGAGCGCCCGCACCTCGGGCTCTTCCCTCCTCGCCTCCTCGTCACCTACCCACCGCACAGGCACGCCAATCTCCTTCGTGCAAAAATCGTGCACGCGCTGCAGCGCCTCCCGCTGGACGTCGTTCTGCGCGACGATCCATTTCCCCGTGTTGGCGTGTCCGACGTGGTGCTTTGCGCAGAAATCGTACAAGAGGTGTTTCCCGCGGACGCAGAGGGCCGTTTTGAGGGTGTTTGGCGGGTAGTATATCCCCGCGTGGATGACCTCGCTGTTGCGGGAGGACGTTTCGGTGCCGACGGCGGTGTGGCGTTCCAGGAGGAGGGTCGTGGTGTCTGGGCGGGTTGCGAGGCGGTGGGACGTTGCGAGGCCTACTGCGCCGCCGCCGATGACCTGGGCGTGTTAGTACAGTTGTTATTTGAGATTCGGTGTTGTGAGGTTGTGAGTATGATTTTGATGTTTGGTATCGGGAAACTGAAGGGTCCGGGAAACTCACTACGTGGGTGAAGTCGGCGGCTCTCGCGGGGGAGGTTGAGAAGCCTCTTTGAGAGATCCGTGCGACTCCATTGAGGAGTCTCAGAGACGGCGGTCTCATTGACATGATCGACTGTATTTGTCCTGTCTCCGGAGGGTGAGACCGAGTTTGTAAGTGAAAAGATGTTTGTAAGTGAGTTTCCACTCTCCGATGACGCAAGCGGGCTGTTGCAGGGGTCCCGTATGCCCATCTCCTGATAGCCAGATACATGTCTTGCAGTGGTCTTTGATTGTGTAGGTTTGTACCCCACTAACGACTTGCAACGACATCTCAGTGTTGTCCGGCGGTTGATACCACACTCATCACTCTCATGATAACTGTCACTTTACACAGTAAGTCTCATGATCAAATAAGTCATCAAAACGTGATCTCATCGATTAAAGCATGTATGTAATGTAGGTATTTCTCATGTGCACGCCGGCCCTCACCACCCGTCATTAGTCGACGCCGCTGTCAATGCTCTTGACATCGTCGCTCTTGACATTGTCGCTCTTGACATCGTCGCTCTTGACGGCATCGTTTTTAACGTCGACTTTGACATCGGCCTTGTCGCCAGCCTTAATCGGGGCCTTGACATCAGGCTTGACACCCTCGACAGCTTTACCATCATCCCGAGTCTCCGGCTTGGGCGACGTCTTGCGGCTCGATCCTCCCCTCCCCACAATCTTCTCCGTCCAATTCCACCCACCCAGCGGCGTCGACGACCGGTGACCCCCCTCCTTGTCCTTAAAATCCGCCACTACAGGACTCTTGACGCTCGCCGTCGTCGCCGTCGTCTCACTATCGTCGCTGTCGTCCGCCCAGTCCCGATCGCTCCACGTCATCGAGTCAACCCTCTCGGGCCGCTGCGGCCTCGTCGCCCGCGTGATCCTCGGTGGGCTGGCCGATGAGCTGCGCGATGACGAGCGCCGTTTAGGCGGCGCCTGCATATCCGGCACCCGGTCCGCCGCTTCCCGCTGCGAATTGGGAGACAACATGCCCGCGATCGGCCTCTCGTCGGACCCATCGCCGCCCGTCGACCCGACGCCGCTATCCCTGACCTCGTCGCCGTACTTATTCGGCGCCTGGCCCATGTCCAGTGCAAGCTCGCCGGACCCTTCGTCCTCGTCGCGCGTTCTCGCCGTAGCGGAGTCGCTAAAGTGTGCGTCGACCAGGTGCTTCACGACAGGCCAGCCGTAGGCGTTGGCAAACATCCTACGCACGATGATGTTGTTGTGCGCGTCGGGTTCCAGCTTCACCAACACCTTGCGCCACGCCAGACCGCGGTGGTAGGCCCGGGCAATCTTCTCTTCGACCCGCATCTGCGACCCGTCGATCTCTTCGTCGGGACCCTTGTCGGGGTTCGTATTGATCGTGTCATCGTAGTCCCGCGTCGAGTCCATCGTGCCCTCGTGCGAGAAGCGCTGCGACGGGTGCGGCGACGAGTCCGTGCTGGTCCTCGAGCCGCCAGACCCCGTCGAGGCAGCCCTTCGGAACGTGCTTCTCCGAGACGCCAGCGATCCGGTGGGCTTCTTCTTCAGCGGGGGAGGCGGTATGTCGCTCGGGTGGTACACTCGGTCGTGGAAGATTGCTCTGGGCCGCTTGGAGGGATCAATAATGTACTCCGTCGTCGGGATCTTGGGGTTGATCAAGTCGTGCGCAGATTCGAAGAAGCTCGTCCTCGGCGGCGCGACGTGTTGTTGGTCCCGCTCCAGCTCGTGTCCCGCAGTGACCTTTGTGCCTGACGTCTGCGGGATCTCGTCAAAGTTGATCGTCTGACTGCGCCTGTAAATTTTGTTTTGCTTATTGGACAAGCTGGGCGTCTTTGATTGCGTCTTGGCCTGCGTCTGCTCGCTGCCTTTAAACAGGGAGAAGAAGCCGGCAAACGGGCCGCTACTTGTATCCTTGGCATCCTCAGGGCCGCTCTCGTTGAACGGCGTGGGCACCGACCGCAGACTCGCTCGGTCATCCTCGACCATGGCATTTTGTGGTGGCTGCGGTACTTCAACGGCATCCGTCGGCGCTGTAGGCGTGATATTCCCAGAGTGATCGTCCGACACCTCTCCCTCGTCTGGTGGCAGAAATGCGCTAGATCTCCTCGGTGTCGGTGCCAAACTGCCGCCCGTCAGCTCAGCCCAGCCGGCCCCAACCAACGTCTCAACCAAGCCAGCCTCCCGCCGTGCCTTTTCCACACGTCCCAGTCCTTGCCAATCCAGGAACAAGAGACAACTCGTCCGCAACGGCACGATGCCGTCGTTGACAACGTTGGAGTAGACCGTACGGTTGCGGAACTTCTTGAGCGCGGTATGCGCGGGGCCCGTCGGCAGAATCCGCAGCAGAGGCTTCGACTCGGGCTGCACCTCACCCATGACCCTCTTGTGTGCGCTCTCGCCCAGGTTGCTGACAATGGCTCCCCACCCGCTCCTCGCAATGGTGGGCGCTCGCCACGTGAGACCGAGATCCTGACCCGTCCTGCCGACCAGGCCAAAGTCGAGGGCGAATTTGACGTACAGAGGGTTCTCGTTGCTGAGGCCGAGGAAGGGTGTGGCGAGGGCGACAAAGTTGATTGGTTTGATAATGGTGAAGAATTCGGGCGAGTGTTTTTGTATGTATGCAACGGCGTATGTCTGAATCAAGCCCCCGAGGGAATGTCCAATGAAACTGATGCTGGTAATCTTGAACGGACGCTTCTCGTCCGACTCCTTTTCGTGTATCGTGCTGTGCTTGTGGGCCGCTTTGCTGCTGTCTGAGTCTGGCTTGTTGAACACGGCAGAGACGGCGGACTCTGCGTGTCCCTTCTTTGAGGGCAGGAATGGCTGGTCGGGGTACGACATGGACAAGATGTACCTAGCCAGTCTCTTACCCAGGTACTTGATACCCCTTTCAGTCTTTGTGGCGTTGCCCGAGAAGCCACGCACAATGACCTCTTCGTCGTCCCCGTCGTCTTCTGCAGGGCTGTCATCTTGGGTCTTGTCTTCTCCCTTGTCCGTCTTGTCGGCGCGCTCCTTGGCACGCCGGGCCTTGGCATCAATCTTTGCCTGTGCTACCGTCTGGTCGATGCTCTCTTTCAGGTATAGCATATCCGCGCCCAGGTTGCTGTGCAGGCCATGGGTGAGGACGACCAGGTGCACCTTTTTCTGCTTGATTTCTGGCTTTCCGTCAGGCTGCCTATCCTGGGTGACAACGCTCTCCACGGGTTGGTCCTTTTTCGCGCGGCTCTTGAGGCGGTCAATGTTGAGGTCGTCCCAGCCCGGAAGCCTCGGGGTATTCCACAGCGCGGCCGTGTCCTCGACCTTGAGCCGTATCGCCTTGGAGAAGACGCCCTTCGGCTGCGCCGGATGATGGCCGTCCTTGGCGCCCATGCTCTGCTGGTGGTCGGCGACCTTGCCGGGCTGCGGGACCTGCGCCTGGCCGCCGATGACGGGCAGCGACGAGCTGAGGTTGAGCGACTTGGCATCCCTCGCAATGGTGACCTCGTACCCGACGGCGGCCGAGGTGGAGAAGATGACCTGCGACGACACCTCGACGATCCACGAGGCGCACTCGGTCTCGGTTTCCCCGGGTGCCCCGGATGCGCCGCCGCCGCCGCCGCCGCCGAAATGTGCGCCACCTCCGGTACCCGCGCTCTGCCTTATGTGTTCCGGCACGACCAGCTCGCACTCCCACGAGCCGCCGGCCTTGAGCATGGGTTCGAATTCGGGCACGCCATAGCGGCGCGGGTTCGCAAACTTGACGTTGGGGTTGAAGTTGGACGGGTAGGCGGCGGCGCCCAGCGTGTAGGGACCATGGACAAAGGCTGCGCGCAGGGCAATGGCCGAGGTGTTGCGGACGCGCAGGTAGAGCCGCTCGGGCGAGGGCAGGATTCGGTCCTGGGAAGGCGTGTAGGTGACGGTATAGCGGACGACCTCTCCGATCTTGACGCTCCCGACCTGGTATACGAGGAGCATTGTGCTGCCGGGGGTGGGGGGAGGTTCTCTACTTTCGGTTCGTTGTCGACGCCGTCATCTCTGGGTGGTTCGAATCGGGGGGTAGGGAGGAGTTTCGACGAGAAGTTGTGGGTGAAGAAGCTGAGGATCGCACGGTTGGAGCTCGGGATGTTTTAATACGTGCTGAAGCCGGAATCGCGTGGATCGTCTTGCATTCGGAGGCAAAGGCTGAGGAAAATTCGAGAGGGCATGTGAGGTGTAACCCGAGGTAGGAGGATTCGGAGTGACAAAGTACGAATACGTACGGTCGTACCCAAGGTGATGGAGGGTGTACTTTGAATACTTTGTAGACTTTGTAGGTGAGTGTAGGTAAAGATGGGGAAAGGAGAAACACGGAGCTTGCGGTTGAATGGCCCTGTGCCCCCCGGATAGTACAGCTGGCACGAGGTAAGGTACGTTATGTCGGGTTCCAGGTTGAAGGCTCAACGTAAAGGCAGGGCGAAGCTTTGCATAAGGTAGAATGTCGAATTCCCCGACGAGAGCGGCCAGCAAGATGCAGCGAGCAGCCCGAGAGCGATGGCGCCGATGGGCAAAAAAGAGAGCACGAGGGATCCGGCAGACCAGGAACAGGGGTGGGTGCCACTGGTGCGTAGTGCGTGGGTGCTTCGGTTTGGGTGCCCGCTAAAGAGCGTACAGCACGCACAGACGACGTCAACGTCATTGGGCGAAGGGCGAAGCCTTTTCGGCAGCCCTGGGTCCCCCCCTCTTCCCGTCCCAGTTCTTCATCCTCCCCGTCAGTCTGTGAACAACAAGCGAGTGCTAAGCTTTCAAGTACTTTTTGGCACCACAGTCATACAAGAGATACCTCGTCTACAACCCCGCCATGCCCGCCTTAAATTGCAACTCTCCGAAATCTACGAGTCCACCTCACGAGGACTCACAGTGACACAGTGCTTTACGCTCTCGTCGCCTCATCACACAGCAGGGTCCCTCCTCGTAGAGCCTCGATGAGATCAGGTCATCGAACACGCATTTACACGATCCGATCTGGGAGGATTTGTGAGGGAGATGATGCACACACGAGTAGACAGGCTCATATGTGAGAGGGATGAGATATACATTAGGTAGTAGACGGGCTTATGTGCAAAGTCTCTCTCAAATCATGACCGACTCATGACAAGCAAAAGTTGAAAATGCCATACCTCTCTCGACACAGGTTGTCACCAGCCTAAACCCCCCGCCAAGGCCGCAAGCACAAAAAGATCAGTCCAGCCTAAAACCCCACCGTCTGGGACCTTACACTACACATCAGTCCTACAGCACCCAGTTGTAGCCACGAGATTTCACATGGGAGGCCGTCTCCTTACCGGGGTGAACCACGCCAGACTCCCATCGATGGAACATCGAATCGAGATGTCCATTGGTGGGGGGTCTCATCCATCTTCCAACGCTGCCCCAAACTCTGTTCTGCACTCAACCACTGAACCTCAGGCTTGACAGATCTACAGAGTACAGTGTACGGCCGAGATCAAACGCATGAGGAAATCCGACGTGCCGTACCACTCACTTCACTTCACCTTGCCAACTCATCATACTTTCCATCGCGGACGTGCGCTCACCTATGCGAGCACGTCGGCTGAATGCAACGATAGGTTACAACACATCTCATCTCATCCCATCTCATTCCCTACCCAGTGAGATCGGGAATACATGTGATGTGGCCAAGCACTCACAAAAACCCAGGCAAGCACCGCCCTGAGATGGTGCGAAATAAGCCCGTCAATGCAAAAAACCTCACATATCCACATCGAAACGTCCACGTCACGAGCCAGCCAGCCAGCCAGCGGGGAACGGGCAACGCGCAACGGGGAACATCAACATGAACCATACCAAACGAGTCAGCCAAACGCCTCAGTTTCCCACATCCAAGGTCCAACGAACTGAATCCCGGTCGCAACCCCGGACCCAGGTCCGTACACAACTACACAGTCAAAGCTTGGGATTGATACACTCTCACATAGAGTACCACACACACACCCCACAAACTCCATCATATGCCAACAAAGACATCAACAACTCATCAAAACAGCAAAATCAACATAAACAAACCCAATCTCCCCAGCAAAACCCAGAAAGCATACAGAAATTACTCGTAAGATAAACGTAGCCGCTCATACTCCCAAAAAAGGCATCCTCCACGTCTCGCCTGACCCACGACATCAGACGGTCGCGATCCGAGCAAACACAAATCTCACAAACTACAGACTCACGGCGAACCGACCGAGGCAGGAGAGTTCACATGAGAAACGAGCCGAGCCAGCTGTGCTCTGCTTTACTGTGCTGACCTGAGCGACGCAAGCACACAAGGCAAGGCACAAGAACGTCCAGGTTGTGTGTTATGCTTCGTTAAAACTTCATCACTACCTTGCGTGCTGTACCTATAATTCCCCGAGAAAACCACGCCCGCCCCTAAATCCATGTTCCATCTGAGGATATATCACGCCTTTAGTATTACATGCAAAAGTAATAACCCACCCACCCCATCACCATATGAAAATAGCAGACAGCCTACCCGCAACCCGCGAACGCGCGCAATGTGGAACAGAACCGTGGCCGGAAAAATCGCAAAATCATAAGTCGTGCTGTGTCCTGTATTTCGCTTGTTTTTTTTTATCTGTTCGTAAGATGACTCCCCTTCTCTGTCGTAAAGCATCACGCTACGACCGCGTGTTCACCCTCGGGCTGGCCAGGCCACACATAGTTTCGCCATTCATGCACCCGGTTCACGCCGCGGCCAATGCCCGTGAGCCCGGCGAGCGTCGACGACTTGGGCTCCTCTCGCATTCGTCTCCGGCTCCGGGGCGTGTGCGCGTGCGCCGCTGCCTCCATCTCGTAGTCGTGTATCATCCGCCCCGGCGTCATCCGCTCGGACGGCCGCATCGATCTGACGCTGTTGTACAACTCATCTTCCATCGTGTGCCGTCGCAGCATCGGCATCGGGGGTGGCATCGGCGGCGGCGGGCCCATGGCCATCGGCCCCATCATGGGAGGGGGAGGACCCATGATGGGAGCCGTCATGGCCGCAAGCGGTGGCAGTGGCGGCGGCGCCATCATACCCGGCCGGGGGCCACCTGGACTCGACCGCGACTCGGAGAACCGCTCAGCCAGTCGCTGCCCCAGAGGATCCTGGGGGAGGCCTCTCGCCCGGTTGACGCCCGACATGTAATCGGTCGGCGGCGGTCGCTCAAACGCCGTCGGTGGCGTTGGCGCAGGCGGTATAGGTGCGGATGCGAATACGTCCGTGTCTCTGCGATAGTCCTCATTCATGAAGTGGCCCGCCGTGTTGCCGATGCCAACGAGGTCCCCGTACCCTCGGTCATACGCGTCATCGAGCTCGTACGTCTGCATCGTCCTCGCGAGGTCCTCGTCGCGGTTCTCTTGGAACCTCCGCATCAGTCGGTTGTCGTACTCTTGGGAACGCGAACGAGGCGTCGTGTGACCCACGCCGGCTGATCGGATACTTCTCGCGCTTCTCGGGGTCTCGGTGCCCGGGTCTGGCTGCTCCATTCGGCCCATCACTAACGGCCGATGCATCTCGTTAAGCCGCTCCGCCTCGACCGTCTCGTAATTGAACCAAGGGCAATCGCAACTCTTCCATTTGGTACCGCACACCATGCAAAATTGTGCTCCGCAAATACTATCACGCGTCAGCAGGAGATCCAGACCAAATACCAAAGAACACTTACCATGTCATGTGGTTGCAGCCCTCCTTGAGCTCAACCATGTGACTGCACTTGTAGCACATCTTCCATCCCTCGTCTTTAGCGTGGTCTAGAAACCTCGTCGTCTCTTCGTCGCTGGGACACTCCCTCGATGAGTGCCATTTGCCATTGCAAGAGCAGCACACTTTGGTCTTGCACTGGCCACACTTTGCGGACTGGCGACCGCCCCCTTCATTGCGGAAGTGTTCGGGTTTTATCCACGCGCCGCACTTTCTCGAAGGGCAGTAGATGCGGTTGGCCGCCGTGAACTCTGAAAACTTTCTATTCCACTTCTTCTTGAACTCGGGCGTGAACAGGTGGTCCACGTGTTTCAAGGGTATGTTTGCGACACAGCACTTTGGAGGCATCTGCGTTGGATCTGTGATGGAGAGTTTAAAGTGTCTCTTGAGGCACGCGTCACACTGTCGATGGCCGCACTTGAGTTTTGCGATTCTACTCGGCTGGAACTCTCCCATACATATGAGGCACTCGACTCTGGATGATGTTAGCTGGTGCAGACGTGCAGGCATGCACCCGTAGACAACATACCTGGCTCCTGGCTTCTCTGACGAGCGGGAGACGGTGCTCCCCGTGAGGACGTTTCCCACCAAAGTAGACGCCGGCCTACTTGACGAAGTCGTGCTTCGCGTGTGCGACGTGACATGCGATGCCCCTGATACGGTGTTGGAGCGGCGGATCGACCGCGTCTCTGGGTACACAACCTGAGACTGGTGTCTCCTGGAATGCCTACTGGGAATCACGTCAAGACGACCCCTATCCGGAAGAATCTCGTACGCCAACCTCTTGGTGGCGCTGGGAGGTTGAGAGATCTCGTACGTCTTGGCCGACGAATGATGACGGCTCGATCTCCTCACGGGGCTATACGAATGCTGTCTGGGATAGTGCCTCTCGGATGCCGGACGCGACGAGGACGGGTGAGAGCGGTGCCGTGAAGACGAGCGGCTGAGGTCGCCCAGGGACTGCCGCGGCGTGGGCTCGGTGGAGCCGTCCTCCTCCATATAGATAATCTTCTTGATCTTTCTACGGCGCTTGGTTGTGTTATCGGCTGATGGGGGTGTCCGCCGCTCGACAACGGTCTGAGCATGCCGTGCTGCCTTTTGGTACCTCTCCCGGTCCCGCCTTTCCCTTTCTCGCCGTGTCTCTCGCTTCTCTTCCTCGGATGAGTCACTCGTTTCCGAGTCCTCATCCGACTCCGATTCGGATTCAGACCGCGAATACCTCGAAGACCGTCTCGACTCGTAGACCGGCGGCCGCGTCCTCGAGTGACGGGCGGTGCTGCGGCTACGGTGTCGAATGGAAGACTGCTGCTGCCGGCGTCTAGCCAGGGGGGACTCTTCCTCCTCCTCCTCACTGTCGTCTGACTCTTCCTCGCTGTCCTCCTCCTCCTCTTCCTCGTCGTACGTCTTGTAGCCATTGTCCACTGGGACCCTTCCCCTTCTATACGGAGCACCGGCTTTTGGGGTTCTGGGCATCGTGGCTCCTGGAGTGGGAGGCGCACTGCTGAGCTTTACGATTCTTCTCGGTGGTGCTCCCAAGGGCGAGGGTGAGCTCGTGCTGTCGGGCCCTTGTATAAAGTCTCTGGGTCTCCGGTAGGGCATCGGGTCGTAGGCGGACTCAGCAGCAGCGACGCTGGGGTGAGGGCTCATGTGAGGGTGAGGGATCGGGTGCCAATCATAGTCGGCCATTTGCGGCGGGCTGGAAGGATGCCGCCGACGGCTCGTTCTCCTGTGCAACTCTGCGCCATCTCGATAGGCCATTGGGCTGGGGCCAGCCTCATCCGGGAGTGCGACGAGTTTTGAGGGTGGTGGAGGAAAAAAAGGGGAGCGGGAGCGGTAGCGGTAGCGGGAGTCGGGAGTCGAGGGGGGGTGGACGTGTGGTGAGGGTCTCACGGCCTTGGATCTACAAGGTAGGCTTAGTGTCGAGAAAGGATGTGCTGTATGTGCTGCGTACTGCGTGCACCCTGACAGCTGGTTGCTCGTGAGTGGGTGACTTCAATGCATGCCGTGGAGCGGTGATTGGGTTTGGATGGCGGGTTGCATATCGGACATGCACATGCGGTGATATTGCGCGCCCTGCTTTTTTTTCTCTGTTCCTTTTTTTTCTCCTTCTCGTGAATGTGTCCTGCAACTGACGAAGGCGAGCCGCGACTGGTTTGCCTCGTGTCTCTCGTCTTTGGTGCCCCTCGGTGAGGTATCAATCGGGCAGCAGCGGAAGCTGTTTGGTCGGACGGGGGAAGACAGTGGATATCGACGTTCGATGGATCACGGTTTGAAGGATCAGCTTAGTTGGATCGGCCCATGTGCGAGAGAGGAGAGAGGGCTGGCAGCTTTGACTTTGGAGCAAGGTCCAAGTGAGGTGAGGGAGAGGGAGAACAAGAGACGGTATGAAGTAGAGAGAGAGAGAGAGAGAGAGAGAGAAGAGTGAGGTTGGACGTTTGTGACAGCCGACTCAGGTCTCAGGAGTCATTGGATTGGATTGCCCCGACCTGGAAAGAGCTGCCACTGGGAGGAACAGGGCGCCACCGAGGCACAGCGCAACCGATTGGCCCCTATTGCGGGCGGCGGGGAGCTTCACCTTTCCGCTTCCTCCATCTCTTGGTCTCTGTACTCCGTACAGTCGTTACCTAAGGTACTAAGGTAGGTAGGTTCACTCATTCACATCCAATCCCACGTCTACTTGGTACAACGAGATCCAATTGTCTCTGCCTCTGCCCGCCTCGTGCTGCTCCATACTATCTGCTTCTGTCTTCTCTGTCTGAGTCTGACTCTGCCCCCCTTAGATCCAGAAACAGACATCAGGTTTTCATTTTTCAGTGTCCAGTTTGACCCGCCCTCGTGTTCAAATGGACCGGTCCGCTCGTTCGTCGCGTTCCAGCCTCCCACCACAAACCACGAGAGTCCCTGCACCACCACCACCCGGACACCCAAAAACCCTCTCGCGCGTGTCCATACAAGCGTCTTACAGTCGTCCCAGCTAGCGGCCAGTCCGATGTGCGCCTACAGCGCGGGAGCGGCTGCCTCTTTGACAGCCCAAACCTAACCATGAGGCGAACCTAACCAGCCTAACGGAATGTGTGTGGATGCACTGGTGGGAGGCTAGCGGTGCTGAGCCCCTGTACTCAGCGTCCCTGCAGGGGACTGCCCGCCACCGTTTCCTCTCTCTCTCACCTCCCAGTCTCACCTCAGCTGCCTTACCTAAGCTCGCTACCTGCGCTGCAGTGCTGCACCTCGCACCTCAAGCGCGCTCACCGCAGCACCGAGACCTGGAGCGCACGTGCCTCAGCCCTCGCATTCCACCCGTGACCGCCAGCCGTTCCACAGGGATCCCAGCCCGCGGGAGCGGTGCCGGCCCAGCACACGGACGCTGTGATTTGGCCGACAGTCTCATGTCGTGAAAGGGGGGGCCATGCACTGCAGTTAACATTGGCTATTCATGCGTAATTTGCTTCGTGAGGGTCTACAGACTCCTGTACCCTAATCATGAAAAAAATCTCCATCGTCTTCGCACCCACTGCAGGGCGTGCTGAAATTGGGTGTGCCTGGTCCACTCTTTTCGGCCGGGCTGCGAGAAAGTGTAGATCGGAGCTACCCACGGGGCCGATTGGCGCAGGTGGGGCCGACCCGGACCGTTACACCCTCTGTCTGGCCCCCGAGTCATTGGCGTCTGCAGACCGCCTCGACACATCGGCCACTAACCGACTAGTTTTGCTTTTTGCTTTTTGCTTTTTCCCATCTCTTTTTGCGATCCTATCGATTCCTTGAGTCAATCTTGGCCGGCGAATCGTCTCGATTCTTTCCTAGACCATAAATCCACACCACCACGACCTACCAAACACCAGACCGCCTGCCTCGAGTCTCGTGTAGGCGGCATCCTCTGCTCCATGGTTTCAAATCTCGCATGTGCCTCGATATACTCCGACATCGCTGCCGTGCAACGCATCCCGCGCCAGCGAGGCAGAAAAGAAAATTCCAAACAGCCTAGCGCTGGGCTTTCTGGGCAGAAAAACCCACAGACTACAACACTCGCTGCTTCGCATCACCGTTCTGGAAACCCGGGCAGGACCCAGCCCGAAATCGATTGGTGGATCCATCCCGTCTTCTCCTTCCCTCGCAGCCAGGAAACCCCACCCCGTGATCCCGTTCCATGCAGCTCCGATAGCCCCACCCCGCGCCGGCAGATGCGGCACTCCTTAAAAAGATGGGACCCATGTACACGGTGCCATCCGGCCGCTGCGGTGCCAATCCGGTATATACATCGGCGGCATATCAGCAGGGGCGTATAGTAGGCCTTCGGTACTCCCCCTTGTGACGCTGAGCGAGACACGGCGCTGCGGACGGGAAAGACATCCATCTCTCCGAGTCCCGTATCTAAGCCATCATGAATTCCATGTGAATTGACCTCACATGCCTCACCCGGATATCAACCGCACGCAGCATCACGCGGACATGGACGAGGAACCAGCCACAGCGCAGCCGCGTGACCGGAAGGCCCCTTTCGCTTTCGCGTACCTTGCCTTGAGCATGCACCTCAGTCACCTTGTTCCCCGCGGGGCAGACTACTTTACCCCGCATAGATGAGTCGTTGGGGTCGCGTCCCAGACTCCCAGTACACCAGTGGGCGAATCGCAAGATACCGCGCAATCTAGGTCGAAACACATTGACCTTCTGCATTCAGGACGTTGCCGCGGTCGGGTAGTGTCGAGGTCGAGTTTAACGTCTGCAGCTGTAACGCAGGCCAGATGGTCACATTCGCATGCCCATGGATGCATAGATAATTGGGGCCGTCTTTCTTTCTCCAGGTACAGACAGGAAATGGGGTATTTCTTCATCGGCAGTGCTATGTTGTACAGTTACTATGTCACCACATCTCGGCAGCCCTGTTCTTTGGGAGCCAAGTCCCCGGGCCAGAGAAGTGTACTGTCCGTCCTCCAAACATACCAGGGCTGGCTCATATAGAGCCGCCCAAAGTAAAATGTTGTTCCTCCCAAACCCGTGCGCCTTGGAGCCGGTTATCCCAGCCACCTCGAAATCCTGCCACTGAGTACTACTGTGAGTGCTGCCACTGCGTGCTAATAACCACCCCGTCAGACTTGCCCTCTGTGAAAAGTGACAGCATCTCGCCTCTTCCTCTCTCTTTCTATTCTCGGGGGTCGGCGGCAGAGCCATCTCGAAATGGGTTGGCGCCAGGCTGGCTCATTGGCTGTGTGGGTGGTCGTGCCGGGACTTCGGTCCGAATACCGTGTAAGATCATGTATTACCCGCCAACCAAGCCACGCCAATTCGCAGGGCGGCGTCCAACCCCCATTTCCAGATGGCGTGACCCCGGATTTCTGTCTGCACCCCAGATGGATGCCTCCACCGTTCAGTGTAGCTTTGCACGCTCGATGCTGCTGCGACTGTACGTCTGCTTTCCCGGCCAAATGGGCGGCGGGGCACTCAACCCCAGAGTCGTTTGCAGGAGGATCATGGTGATGGCCCACCGTCAGGAACGTGGAGCTGGAGACTGCCGCGGGTCGCACTCTTGAGATGGGTGGCCCGCTGCAGAAAACTAGATGCAATTCGAATGGGCGGGCGGGCCGAGCGGCTTTCAACCGCTCAGGTATGCCCTCCTTCGCACTTCGGCCTCTTTGATGATCTCGGCTGCCAGGCTTAGACTCGGGGCCAGTGTCGAGTATCGCTCGATCTCCATGACCACGTCGTTGATGATCTGATCGATGGTCTCCCTATGGGGGACGAGGGTGAGGAGGATACTGCTCAGAGAGGGTGACATGGTCGCACCCATGACCAGTAGCGTTTGCGATACGATGGAGAGCGCTCCCTGCCACAGGTACGGCATGTGTCCGGCGTGACTGCGGGGAGTTAGCGTTATGACAAGAAATGATTCAGCATTGAGACCTACTGTTGTGAAATGTGCTCCAGCTGCCGGATGGAGGCTTCCAGGCACTTGTGGCAACTGTCACGCACCGCGGGGTCCAGGACGGCCTGCTCATTGTCCAATACGGCCAAGATGTACGGGCGGTAGATGATCGTCCGGCAAGCAAAGAAGCGCAAGCGCAACACGGTCTGCACCGGATCGGAGAGGAGGGTGCGGGTGAAGGGGAACTGCAGCGGCATCGGCAGGCTCTCGTACCATTGCGTCAGCTGGAAGTCGAGCTCCGCCACCACCGGCTCCAGGCTGGTCGTGGAAGCCATCGAGTCTTTTGAGTAGATGAGCTGGCTGACCCTGTTGAGGAGCCGCCGCAGGGCAATCTCGGCGAGGAAGTACCAGAGGTCGTCTCGGCCAATCGCTTCTTGCTCCTCACCCTCAAAGCCGCCAGGAAGGCCGACGTTCTCCTCAAATTGAACGACGCCCGAGTGTGGCAAATCCAGCTCGGCCAAAAGATCGCTCTCAAACAGTAGTGAATTCCAGTAGATTCGCTCAGTGAGCTCCCGCTGGTTGGGCGGGACTCTGTTGGGGGACATGAGCAAGAGCTGAAGTTTGGTACTGGTGGTGCAGAGCAGATTCCAAGCCTCCAGGGGCCGCACCAGGTAGAACAGATAAGCCGAAGCCAGCAAGTGGCACTGCGCCGCCAGGACGTTGTTGGACGTCATCATACCGGGCAGCAGCGCCCACGCGGCCGTAAAGTACTGCAGCCCAGGGGCGTCCTCTCCCGGGACGATGCGTGAGATGCTGCCTCTCAAACTCGCTTGACCCAGGGCCAGCACCAGCAAGACGATGCAGCTCTCGGCGCCCTCGCGGAAGCCGTTAGAGAGGGCTGTTCTATAATGGCTTCTCCACGTGTACGGGTTGACGCAGGCGTACCAGACATTCACCCGCTCAAAGTAGGCCTCGATGTAGGCAGTCGTATTGGACAGGTCAACACACGGCGTCTTTGTGAGCGAATGGAGAGGCTCGCGGGCCATTTCCAACTGGAGCAAGACTTGCGGGTCATAGGGGCGAGAGACGAGGTCGCGAATAAGAGGCCACTGCAATAGGTGAAGCGCCGCGTTCGTATGCATCTTGGGCATGGTTGAAATGTTTGTCGGGTTGTTCCACGTGCCCAGGCCGCCGTTGGGGATGATGGAGACGGCGTTGCCTGAGCCTGGTATGCCCATCAAGCTGTCCCCGTTGAGGCCTGATCCGTTGCTCATCGACGGCGACTCTTGGTTCATGGCGATGCCGTTTCCCTGTCCGGCGACCATGTTCATCTGCAGCAGGCTTTCAATACGGTTGAGGCGCTCGAGAATCAGCTTATCCCCGGCATCCAGCTTGATGCCGGGTTCTCTGTAGACGCACTCGGCGCCCAGCTCGGCGCAGAGCTTACACTTTGGTTTTGTGCCATCGCAGCGAGACTTGCGGGAGCGACACACTTCACACTGTTGTTGGTCAGCTCACAATGTCTTTCACACTGATCAATTCACATACTGCAATGGTGGCCCTCCTCCGTGGGTAGTCGACGCCAACGTCTGTGTTCCTCCTCTTTAGCGGGTTGGACCCCTCGTCGCTGGGCGCCTTGTGCATGCTATTGGTCAGAGCATCGGGACGGTTCTCGGAGGACTGAGACATGTTCCGGGCTTTTTGCACGGAACCTAGGAAGCCATCTCTGCTGAAACTGGGCGTTCTCTGCACCTTGAGCGAGGCGGGCGACTTGAGAGGGTGGATGCCGTTGGTCATGGAAGGTGAGGGAACGTCGACGTTGAAGGCCTCGCGCGACGGGACGGGAAAAGACCTCCCCGCGTTGCCGTTGCCCGTGGCCGAACGCGGGGAGTCACCCGTCGACGACGGGGACATGGCGTGCTGCGTCTGGAGACGAAGAAGCTTGGTGGAAGACGTGGTGGGCAGATGGTGGTGCGCCGCGACAGCGCAGCTCAGGCGGGTGGATGGATGAGTGAAGCGGCGACTTTGGGGGGGCTTGGTGGCTAAATAGCTGCGATGCACTGGCGGTTTGCGAGGCTGGAATCGACAAAGACCGGACCGATGCGATTAGGTTCGGCTGAACGGGGGGTGCGTGACTCGAGGCGAAAGGTGTCAGTCAGACCAGGCTCGAAGGTATCGCGGTGTTTCACAACTTCTTTGGAGGTGCCGTAGGAGAAGGGAGCAGACGACGGAACAGAGAAGGCGAGAAGAGACGAATGCACGGCTGTGGAGCAGTAATTATGGGAGAATCACCGAGGCGGAGGAGGGGGGGAAGGGAAAATAAAATGCGGAGGAAGCAATCCTATGGCGTTGTTGGTGTCGGATGGCCAAGGATGGGCAGCAAGTCGCTGTTGAGGGTAAAAAGAGACACCTTACTTACTTACCCAAAGAATGGAAGAGTGCCCCAGGTGAGCAGACGGGAGCTCTAGGCCAGCTTCATCCCCCTTTGCCCCGGACCCCGGCTTGGAGTCGTTGGAGCGAGAATCCATCGGATTGGTGCGTCGTGACAGTTACCCCATCCCGCAGCGGCAGACATCAGGTCAGGCCAGGCCAACCAGAGCCGGCGGTTGCAACGGGCATGGGACGAAACGGGCATGGGATGGGATGGGATTCGGGGAGAGGATGAGATGGGGAACAAGGGTCAACGGCGCACGCTAAGCAGAGGGGCCGTCGCTTATACCTACACAGTGAGGTAGCGCGGAAGAAGCATCTTGGTGTGCTGCCGGTTCGTCCATGTTTGTCCATCGTGGATGTTGAGAAACATGTGTTCTTTGCGTTGACAGCATCATAAGTTAAGGTACCTTACCTTAATTTGAAGTCGTTGGTACACAAAGTATTGATCCGTGCCTTAATTCCGTTCCGAGCTCATGGCAATCATGGGGAAAGGGCCCTCAGTGTCGATCGGCCCTGCCAATCTGGGGGAGGGGCCACGACTACATCGATAAAGTACCTTGAGTGTTTGACCTGAGGCAAGTGCTCCTCAGAGCGGGGGAAACGGGAAAGTGCCTTCCTGCCTTATTTGGAGTAATTGAGGGTATCTCCTTCCTCTCATCTGCGAGTTCTGAAGGTACGGATACAAGATACCTGGCTTACTAAGGCCAGTGGGCATTTCGAACCTCCCTCGTAATTTTACACACTTCACGTTGCAACCTCGTTCCATTATCCATGGCCACAACTCCATAACGAATGAAGCCCAATCCCGAGTCTCTCCCGTTGTCTACCGTGTTCTTGTGTGGCTCCAGTCTCCCCTCTCTGCCTGTACCTGCATGTCGACTCCCTTCGTCACGCTCACGGCTATTCGTACACTTTGACGAGACTTTGTCCAAGTAGGTGGCAGCATCCCTGTCAACCTCATTTCGCTCCCGCCACTCTACCAAGCTCGACTAACACCTCCAGGTTCTAGAAATCCCTCGGGCCCAATCTAGACAACACCAGCTGTGCCGCTGTCAAAAGACGGGGCTGCGAGAGATTGTCTCGCCATGTTAGCAAGACCCTGCCATGGTGCTCAACAGTCCTACAACGCCAGCCAGGTCATGAGGGGTGGTGGGCGAGAACCGCCGGAACGTAGATGAACCACCACCCCTCCAACACCCAAATCGGGACGCTTCTCCAAACAAGATGACGAGCTCCCGCATCGCTCTCAATGCGTTCAAGGCCAGGGTTCACGGGCACTCGGTGTCACTGATTAGCTGATTCTTCACGAGAGATTCACGACGGTACCCCAAAAGGAAAAACGAAATCGACTTACGAATCACTCACTTCGACCAAGATTCACCACGACGGTCCGCAATCTACCTAGGAATATCTCCCCATCTCGCGAGTCCGTCCCCGGGAGAGAATCCGGGGTCGGACGGGCAAACGGCCGGCCGTTTCCCTGGCACACCACACATGGCGATGGATGCCCCACACTGTAAGTCCCTCCCGACTACCCGCTTTCGGGGTTCTAATTCGTTACCAGACTTTGACACTCTGTAGTTTTGCTGCATGTCGACCGACCAGGCCAAGACGCAGCATTCCTCTGCCGTGTCTGTCGGAACCTTTCTTGAGTTTATACCGGTTGACAACCCCAGGATCACAGTCGCATTGAACCAGACTTTATCGATGACTCTGTTCCGTCACTCGAAACGCCAGCCGCGGACGGGTACCTTCTTCGTGGAACCTGGAGTCAAAGCCGAGTATCAGACCATGATTCAAAACTTCTGAGATGTATTACACGAAAATCCTCAGCTTCTACAAGAGAAAACTAATCGTATTCCTTGCGTCCGCCATGAAGTAGGTCGAATATGCACCCGCGTTGCCTCAAGTGTCGGTCTGGAGAATGCCATCCGGCTGCGCTGTGACATTGCGTCGGCACTTATCCAAGTGTGACTTTCAATGTTGCGTTATCACTCCGCTCCCGCGACTCTGGTCTTGTAAGTTGACGTGCGCATCAGAACGCGCAGCCTCACATGGACCAGGTATCTTCCCACCCGCCTTTCGGGTTCCCTTCTGGCCCAGGCCTGCAGACGATGGCCCGCCCGGGGATCCGAGCCTAACTCGAATGGGGCCAGCCACTTCAAGCAAGTTGGCTTGCTCGCGAGCCGCCCCTCGGTTACCGGATTAGGAGCCCGTCATCTTCCCAACTCGGGTTGCTGACCTACCTACGTAGCCAAGGGGCGTTCATGATTCACGACGCGCATAAGCGAGTGAGAGTTTTCGGGTGTATGATTTCTGTATCGTGGGTCTGGATCATGTCCAACATGTCATTGAGGTTAGTACGGGCCCAGACTGCCTATACACCAGAGTTTGATTTCGTTGGTATCTAACATCTACTCGTGGTACACAAGTCAAAGAGATGCGGGTTGTTTCATGCCGCTACGCTCATGCTAAACGCCTACTCATCAAAAATAACGGCAGTCACTTCGCCATCCACCTTGGCGCTCGTGAGAATCTCCCCCAGCTTGCCTGACGCGGCATCACGGCTGATCACAACGACACGGCTGTCGGACTGCAGGCCAACGGCCACGAGGTCGCCCACCTTGCTGACGGAGAACTGGCGCGGGATGCGTCCACCGGCGGGGAACTTTTGCAGCAGCGTAAGACCGCCCGTCTTGGCGTCAATGGTGAAGGTGTTGAGCGAGTCGGAGGGGATCTGCGCGCCCTCGCCGGGAGTGTCGGGGTTGCTGATGCTGAAAGCCGAGTCGTTGCGCGACGAGACGGTCAAGAACTTGCCGTCGGACTGTTTTGTTAGTATGCATTGAGACTACTGCAGAAGTCAACTCACAGAAATCCAAATCTCGGCGGCGCTGGCACCGGCAGGCGCAGAGGCACCGGCGCCGTAGGTGGAGCCGGAGAACACCTCGGTGAAGCCGAGCGTCTTGTTCTCGCGGTAGGCGACGTCGTATGCGGTGACGGTGTTGGCAAGCTCGCTAATGAGGTACAGGTACGTCTTGCCCTCGGGGGTGACGAGGAACTCGACGTGGCGGGGTCCGCTGCCGGGGGCGGCGACGAGGGAGTCGACGGCCGCGAGGTTGTTGGCGCCGTCAACGGCAAAAACGCGGACGAGGTCGGCGCCCAGGTCGGGAACCAGGACGAACTGGCCCTTGGGGTCGAGGAAGACCTCGTGCGGGTGCGGGGCATCCTGGCGCGACGGGTTGGGGCCGGGAGCCGACATGTTGAACGTCTCGGACTTGACGGGCGTGAGGGCCGCCGGGTTGGAGATGTCGAACCAGCTCACAGAGGAGCCGCCGCTGGTAAAAGTCAGCTCGTGCTCGTCGCCAACAAACATCAAGACATACTACTGAGCGATGGCGAGGCCTTGGCCCTTTTCGCCAAAGACAACGGCGCTCACGGGACCGTTGATGGTCTCCGTCTTGGCCAGCTGCTCCAGCACACCGTCGGCGGCGGTCTTGAAGGACGAGACGGTGCCGACATTGGTTGTAAGACCCTCATCCGTGCAAAACAGCCTCGCGTTGGCCTTGTCGAGCTGGAGCCAGGACGGGCTGGGCGCGCAGCCGTTGGAGGAGGAGAGCGACTGCAGGGTGGACTGCGTGGCGTTTGTGCCTGACAGAGTGAGGTTTAGGGTGGTGATGGCGCCGCTGTACGATGAGGCGTAGAGGAGGGTGGCGGCCGCCGGAGAGGAGAGCAGCAGCGGCACGAGGCCGGCCGGCGCAAAGAGGTCTCGCAACATGCTGGGCAAATACTGAACGACGAACGAATGTCTGTGTTGGCAAAACAGCTGCACGGTGAGAACGAGGCACGGAACGAGTGTGACGACGGTGACGAGTGCGAGCACGGGACGGAGAAGAAAAGGACGACGACGACGAGGTCTTGGACTCGAGGAGCGAAGACGGCCCATTTTCGCGTAAGACCCCTCAAGGTCCCAGGGGCAAGGACGGAGTCTCCTCTGAATGTGTCAACGATTGTCGCCCGTCGACCTTGGTTCCCCGGTCATGCGCTCACTGCCTTGGTACGCAGTCACGCTGTAAAGCTGGGACCTGGGTTGCGTGGACTTCGAAACGGGACCCGGTTGCCTGTTTGGGACGGCGAACGGGATTCTTCCGTGCTTCGGTGGCTAACCTTAATGCCTACAGAGTACAGACTTCACAGCGTACAGACACTACGGCGGAGTAGTCGGAGTGCGGTGCGGACACTTTCCAGAAGACAGGCTCAACCCTGAAGCGACGTTAGCAAGGTGATGGACTTCCCCTGCAATAAAAACGTCCGGCCAGGGGTGGTTCACGGTATTTTCGTCTGGTACGATGATAGAGTTTGTCAGGGAGATTCAGGTTGAGTACCTCGAGACACCCGCCCCTTTCTGTTCCCGTACAGCGTCCTGACAGTATGCCACAGCACACAACTCGACGAACCGCGCCTCGTCTTTGGATGGTAAATGTTCGTGTCACACAAACTCTGAAAAAAGGGTGTCGAGTTCGAGGTGGAGAAGGTTACTTCGACTTCCACTCGTGTGCCGATGCGGAGAATGTGGAGAAAAGAGGAGGAGGAGCCCAAAAGGACTGGAGGAGGCGGAGAGGTGAGGGGGAACCACGGAGATGCAGTCGGCCAATCGGCGCCGCTTGTTGCTTGTGTGTGGGTTTTCTCTCTCGTTCGTGGGGTCTGAGAGATTTCCCAATTTGCGGTAATTTATGATGCCGTCCCCAGTACGGGAGACGGTGAACACTGACCACCGCAGGCACGGGACGATGCCGGCGCCCGGTGAGGTCTTGGTCGAGTGTGGCATCACTCGAATCACGGATACATCACTGAGAAGTCAACCCCCTCGTCTGCCATCCGACCGAGCCGTCCGGCAGTCAAACGGCCGTGCGCCTCTGCATCGAACCTCGAGTGACGCTTCGCCAATCACCTTCATGCCAGATTTCAACTG